AGTGGTCATGATATAATCGAATAAATTATAACATTCATTGACCACTAAAATAAGATTTTGAAGTATTTTGTTATTTTATTATTCAATCACATTACCTATGTATAGTTGCCATGATTGAGTAACTAAAAAGAAAGCTATAGCACAAAGTAAATCAAATATTGCAGCGATAGTACCAATCAATGCATCGTCCATTCGAAATTTGTGGCTTAAAATTCCTAATGCAAATATTGTACCTGTAAAAAAAAAATCGTTGTAATAAATTAATAAGAAACAAAGTAATATATGTTTAATACGTATTTTAAATACATTTCCATGTATCTAAACTGTGTTAAATAGTTATTCAAATGTTACCTATTAATACAACGGTCATCTGATAAGCGTTGAAAACACTAAATTGTTCTTCGTTCCATTGAAATTTATACCTCAAAAATAAATACATAACTGACATCTCTCCTAAAACAGAAAATTTATTTTATATCTTTTTAATTAAAATAAGTTCACGTAAAATATCTCTGTAGATCGTTGGTAAATTTTGAAGTTTCTTCTCGTACCTTATGAGATCGTAATCCTTACCTAGTTCTAAGGTCTAACCTAACTACTAATTGTAGCAGAAATAATCAATAATACCGTTCGACACGGTCGGCTAAAGGGAGTACCACTCATCAAAAATTATGAAATTAGATGTTTATTATATATCATTATTACCGTTTATATTTCATATGCTTACGTTATCTTTGTAATGATTTTAAAACTAAATTGTGTATTAGATTTTAATAGAGGGTTAGACCGTTTATTGATAAAGATGAAGAATAATGAATAAGTAAATAATGAATATTAAAACTGTAGAACAGCGATTCCCATCCCATGGGCCGTGAACTTATATTAACATTACTTACGTATATTTCTAAAATATTAAATATCAGCAAGTGAAAAAGGATCGTTTATTGAATTTTCAAGTGATCAGACCCTAAAATCGTTTTTTAATACTGCACCATTATTACCATTCTAGTTAAATATTCGCAATAATTTCCAGAAATCTCTATATAGAAACTTAGATTTAGATTATATTTCGACAATCTGTGTGAACGAGTTTTTTTTACTTTATTTTCATTAAAAAATGAATATTAGAATAAACAGAATTTCTAAAATGATTTAAGGCTATAAATTTTCAATTTTAATCCAGATTGATTATCTCGTGGGGGAAAATTAAAAATTACATGAAATTGTTTAACTATTGAATAATCTGTTTCAATAGAGTAATTTTTTTTTTTTTTTTGATAAACTATTGTTTTTTTAATAAATAAATTGTAATAACTGACTTATGTGCACAATATATATGTATAAATATTGGTGGGCTTCAACAATTTTCTACGAAATTTGTGGTCCTCACTACTAAAAAATCTGAGCACCGCTGCCGTAGGAAAAAAAACTCATTATCGTGTTTTCATCGGTATGGATTAAAATTCATCAACAACATCTGTATTATTGTTTATTTATTTTTTCTAAAGAATGAAGAACTCATCAAAATGAAAGGACATGACTGCAGCTTTAACAAATCGCGGACTATTTGAAACGTTATTATTAAACTTAGTGATTCGGTACACGGATATATATGACGGTTTCAGTGTGCAACTAGGGTTTTATTTTATTTATTTTAAAGGTAGGGCTGATTTTTTTTTTTTTTTTTGTAGAGTTTCTTTAGTAAAAAAAATGGCACTTACTTTTTAATTTGTATCTTGTACATGTGGAAGATAGATAAATGTCGGGGTTAAACCTTTCTACCTAGCTCCTACCTAATAGCGCCTACGGTCTCGGGATGTTGTTTTTCAACACGTAGCCTAGCGATAGGTTAGTTATCCGGTCACGACGGTAAATAACGCGATAAATAACCCACCCTCCAGCGGTATGCACGTAAGTGGAGCGCATAACAGCACGACGATGCACAGGATGACGGTGTCGTTGCCTTGGCGCCGTTTGGTCAGCACGCCGTAAGAGTTGCGCAATACTTCCATGGGGTTTATGGTGCGCAATACGTCCCGGTACAGCGGTAGGTTGTCGGACGGTGTCAGCTCGGCGTCGTCCATAAAACCGAACGCCAGCGCCAGGCACAACAGACCTAGGCCTATGGAGATCTGGTACGCGGCCGCAAAGCCCACGTTGACGATGACCGAGCCGTACACGAGCATTCCCAGTATGAAGCCCACTGATATGACGCCGCCGATCATGCCATATTTGACCGTACGCCATTCCTCGGCCGTCTTGTCGGCCACGTACGAGTTGATGCCGTTGAACAGCATCGCCGGTCCGCCCGAGCACGCTATCGCGGCCGCCTGCATGGTGGCCGTAACCGCGGGGGACACCGACCACCGGACGGTGCAGTATAGCGACAGCGCGTCCGAAAGTATCTGGCCGATGATGGGCAACAACACGAGAGGCCTGCGGCGACGGCCGTGCCGGTCGCTCCACGTGCCCGCGAACATGACCAGTGTGATGGGCACCACCTGCTGCACCAGCAGCTTATAGCCGTTGATCGGCGCCACCACGTGCTGCGCCTTGGCCTCGTCAGGGCACTTGGATCCCACATGCTGGGCCATCTCGCCAGTCGGGTCGCACGCCTTGTACAGCAAGAGGTTCGTGTTCAGGTACCCCGAGAACACCATCGTGACGAAGTACAAGAACGCCACCGGCTCCACCGACACGTTCGCCATCACGGCTTTAAAAGTCAACATTTTCAGTCCGAACCGTTGCAACACTTACGTCGCGCAACGGTATTAATCGTTACAATGGGTCGTCGCAAGAGAAAAAAAAATAACTGTTCACCGTGTGTCCGAGAGCGAGTGTTACACGTGTCCTGGAACGCGAGACCGACCGACAGCGCGTGCGATTTCCGTTCGTTTGACTGTACCGGGTCTGTTCAGCGTTAGAAACGATTACAATATTGATCAACGTAATTGAGCACCACGTTGATAAGACGTTATTTAAATGCAAACGAATGACTAATGTCCTCACACACTGCGATCCACACGACCATACTACTAGTCCATACGAATTCGAGTAGTTCGCCACACGTAACGGACCGCTGCCGTTCTTACACGTGCACGGGCGAGCGAGGTGACCCACTATTGCCGTCGACGTGTGTCCGCCGAGAACACGTGCGTCCGACTCCTGAATTAAATTCAATTATGGTCGAGTTATAGCTGTGACTATGCTTTAATGACCGACGACATTTTTTTTAACCGAATGTTTTCATTTCGTCAAAAGATTATAGACTACTTACCGACTATCATCATTAACATTTCGTCTCGATCAGCGTTTAATTGATGATTAATTGGCACGAAATCACTTCATAATTCGGTTATTTATTTAGTGTATTTGAAACGGACGAATGTCCGATTATATACCGTGTTATACATTCATCATACACTAGTGAATGCTATTATTGCAACGTTATAAATATTATTTAAAAACCGTGTTTAATAACTTATGTCTTTTTCGGTATTGATGATGAAAGTATAAGTAATGCTTATTTTAAAATGGATAATCAAGTTAAATTATTGTCGACTGTTGATTAAAATATACTTTTTTTTGCCTTTAAAATAATATTTGAATTCGCCAAAAAAAAGCCAAAAAAAATTCAATGGTTATTATTGAAAACGGTTAACGTTATGATATTACGTAACATGAAAACTACAATTTTTTCAAAATTGTTTTGCTCTCATTTTTAATATATTTCTTTAACATACTTGATTTTTATAAGATCTAATATCAAATAATATATATTTATTTAATATAATCTGTTAAAATGCAATTAATTAATTTTTTTTAATTTGTTTACTTAAAATTATAAAAATCCATATTAGTCATATATAATTTTTAATTTATCTATATTGCTATTATTTGTTTTTTTATACATTCATTTAGAAAAAAACACTCATGAACAATTCAAATTAAAAGTATATTTTGTTTATCGTTGCTATCATGACCTAATCATTGTGTTAATTTTATATGAAGAAAATTATATTTACGAGTACTATTTTCAAATAAATATACTTTCAGTGTAAACTAAAAAATAAAATATACTTGAATAACGACGATTGTTAAACTGTTCTACATTGATTAAATTGTTATGAATTATGTAATTTACATATTTAAATTTTCTACTGATTAACTATTAATTGTTAACTATTAACTATTAACTATTGCAAAACGAATAATCTTTGATAATCAATTGCAATATTACGGCTGTACTTGAATAAAATAATAATGGGCCCAATTCTAATGTGGTATATTACCGTTTGAATTTAAATTATTCATTTCGATATTCGATTTCTTATTAATGGACAATTTTAAATAAATTAACCAACTCCTAATACATAAGCACAAGTTATCTTTCTTACTAACGAAAATATAAAACTTAAAAATGTGAAACGATATAAAATATAATTAACACGTTATGTTCACTACTGACTTCAAGGTTGATAAAAATAATATTATCAAGAATATGGTATGTTAACATCGGCTGTATATCCAGCATAGACATGTTTCAAAACGTTTATATTTAATTATCTTAATGTACGTTTGTCTTGCAATCTTAACCCTTCACTGCATGATTTTTTTTATTTTTAAGAAAAAAATATATTATATGTCATTTTAGTCCTAGAAAATAGGAAAAATAGTTTAAAAAATAATAATCCAAAACAAATTTAATAAACTTGACTTAAGTTGGCTATGCAATTTTGCATTTTTATAAGTTTATGTCATAGATATTTTCAATAATTTAGAAACATAATAATTTTATTTTTAAAATAACTTTCATTTCTAGTAACCTTTTACAATCCTTAACCCTTTGTAGACCAACATTAAATGGTGATAGAAATTTGATTTTTTTTTTTGCACCTTTATAAATTATTATTTTTTTGATGAATTTAGAAATTAAGAAATTTGAAATTGGAGGTTTTTTAATATTTTTTTAAGGAGTGGGACAAATAAGTCCCATTGGTCATTTAAGGACTATACTTAAAAGTCCCTATGGTCCGTTACGACACTACTATTTTCTTATTCCCTATGATAAATAAGTAGTAATTAGTTAAAATTTAATTAATTAATTAATTAAAAATATAATGACCATTTAAATATGTATATAATTCATGTTTCAAATTAACAACAATATAAACTTAAAGAAAATAGTTATAGTATCAAAAACTAAATGGTCAATTTTTTTATATAGCAGACTAATATTAAGAACATTGAGTGGTTACTATGTTTAATATTATAAATGTTAAATTCATAATTTATCATATAATAAGAATTTTATTAAAAACATATAAACATAATAGTAATGTACAAAAAAAAAAATAATAATAATTATAATATTAAAAATGAACACATTATTTTGAATGATATTCATTAAAACATGGTTTCTTTTCATTTGAACATAAAAAAATATTACAAGTAGAACATTTAGTATATGGTTTAGATTTTATATTATTTTTGCTGCACACTTCACATCTACCACTCGTTTTACTAAATTTTAACCAGTGAACCCCTAAGTTCCATAACCTCACATCTGAAGTTGTTGAAAACAACTGTTTGCCCCTTCTTGGTTGTAGACATGGTCTACCTTTTGAAGTCCCTGGAGATATATCCGTTGTTCTTTTTAGGCCACATTTACCTTGTGTTATTAGTCCTTGGGCAACTGCTCTTCGAAACTGAAGAACAGTTAATTTTGATTCACTAAGCTTGTTATTAATAACAAATGAATTGACAAATATAATATCAATAACACCCCAAAACAATCTATGCCACCATTTTTTTGATTTATATCTTCGATCTCACGATCGTTTAATTTTGTAAATTTATTCATTTCACCAATTAAATAAATTAAAAAAATTAACGAGTAAATAATAATCAATAAATGAACAAACAACACTTAGGAGCGAAAAAAATAGCATGCGTATAAACAAAATACTTGGCGCGCGAGTGCTTGACTGAGAATATTCGTCAAAACTATAAAAATGTCGCAATAGACCATAGGGACTTCAAAGTCCGTTGTGATTATTGTCAATAAACACATATTTATACACAATAATAATGATATTCAATGGTACGTTCTGTTTCTCGGGATTATAACGAAAAGAATAATAATAAAACCCATTGCTTATCTATACTGGTTCGCGCTGTGGCTATTTATATAAATATCGATATTTATTTTATGGGCTAAACTATATTTATTTTATTATGTGATATATTTTACGCCATCTATTGATTTCACAGAAAATTTTCGGGAACATTATTGATTAAAAATGGAGTGACTTATAAGTCACTATGGTCAGAAAGTACTTAATTTATTTTACCTATGTTTAAATGGATAAAATACACTGCGGACTCAAAAGTCCCGTTGGTCGGCAAAGGGTTAATAGTGAGAAAAATCAGAATGAAAAATATTAATTTATGAGTGAAAAATGAATACTTTTAATTGAAACTTATTTAATAAATTTAAGTACAAATTTAAAAATAATTAAGAAAAATATTTACTGTGTTGGTGATTATAACAGTAATATACTCATAAAAAAAGTTAAATATATTTTATCATAATATGGTAATATTAATTATGGAATTTATAAAAACAATTTCTACCATTGTTAGAACATAAAAAAACAATGCATTTAGAATATTGAATAAATGACTGATATTTGCAATCGTTCATTTGACGAACTCTTCTATTTACCATATGGATTTGCCAGTGATCCAAGTTATCTTATATGATATCCATAGGAGGTAGTAATGTATATCTATACCGAGATCATTTAAAGTTGAATGTACAATGATAATCGTAAAAACATCAAATAATTCGTACAAAATAAAATGACGTATTTGTTGTGTTACTTCATCGTAATGCATATATTAACGGTGAATGTAAACACATTTTACTCACTAATGTAGATAAATAAAATATCAATCGTATTATCTCTCTAAATTATAGACAATATAGAATCTTAAAATATTTTTTTCCAACAAAGTTTGGAAGGTATTTGTTGGGGTAAATAGGGTAAGGTTAAATTAATTACATATTTTGGAGGGTTCACAACCATTGGCGTAGGAAAACTCGCTATTGCCCTTTACAAATTTAGAGGATAACGTCTTATACCCAATTCAAAATTTGATATGATGATATTTTTTTTAATCCTTATTTTTACTAATTTTTTTTTTTAAAATATAATTTATAGTTATAATTTATTTTTAAAATGTACATTTGGAACTTTAAAAATTTGCTATATTTACTTTAAAAATGGCGAATTCTTTGTGCTATTTTCATAATTTCATTATGTACAATTAGACAAAATTTACATATTTCAAAAAGTATAATGGAAAATTTTCATTTTGAAGGTAAAATAAAAATACGAATTATACTCGACTTTGCGCCCCTAGCGTAGGCACAGTTCACTACGTTCTTGCTTCGTTACTGGTCACGACCACCAAATTCTTGCTGAATGCATCTTTGCTTATTAATATTTATTTCTCAGTAAAATTTTATAAAAATATATCAATATTTATCCATTTAATTGGTTACACTGAAATCATCGACCATAATATTTGGATATTTATACAATATTTTATAGGTTATTTTACTCCTATAAATTTAACTCTACAATTCCCATTTGAATAACTATTTATATTACGGATTAGGGCGATGAATATAATATTCAAAAATGTAGTTTCCCAGTACAACCAATGATTGCACTAAAGTGAAGTGGCAACAGACATCTTGCAAAATGCCATTGTCCAACATTAATACTCATTAAAGCTTTAAACGCTTTAAATACACGTTTCAATAATCGGTTTCTTATTGTTTGATGGTTTAGGAAAAAAAAACTCTAATTCCAATTATATATACCTATCTTCAAAAAATGCATATTTTCATTTATAAAGTATTAAAAACTTAAAAAATTATCACCATAAAATTTAGTGTAAATTTCTTTATGGATTTATGTCCACGTGGGTCACCCCTTCCCCGAGACTTCTGGGAATCCGCATAAACACTAAACCACTGAAGATATACTGACGTCGAGAATGTATGTGTAGGACTAGCTTACGCTAACTCTTGCTGTGTTTGGTTATTGGAACACCAAACCATCAACAGCTATAGATGACGAGAGTGGCGTAGGTAAGGGAAGGGTCGAAGTTCAACTGTCCCTCACCATTTCCAAATCTCAGTTAGTAAATAAATAGGTAATAATAATAATGTTTATTACCTAAATACAAAAAACCCACTCCCTCCCATAAATTATTTTTACTTACGTCTTTGGACAACGATGTGACGCGAACACGTTCACTGCTGAACATGCAGGCATGTTGAACCATGTGAACATTCCTTATCAAAACAAGTGTCCTTATCATTGTCATTGTTCTGTCGATGACCATCAGTCTGCATCACACATTATCGATGCTGTACCATGTGCACATATCCATTACAAGAGGGGTATACCAAGCCAGGGCTTCAGATCAATTTTTAAACCATTATTTTTTTCGCACAACGTGCCCTCTCGCCAGATAATCTTTGTTGTACGATTTCATCAGCTATTACCAAGTTTAATTATTTTTTGTTTTATCACAATATTATTTGAAAACCCAAGTGAAGCAAGGAATATATTAAAAAAAAAAAAAAAAAAAAAAAAAAAAAAAGAAATACCATAGTACCTAATGCTATATGTCATTTTTATTGTTGTAAATAATGGTTTAATCAACCTAATTACAATACTATGCAATACTTATTGTTAATTCTGATCCATCTATCTTTTGACGAATCGTTCATAATTAAATATACAACCTAAACCATTTTGAAACTAGTATACATTAGCTATGTAATAATTGTATTGTACTTTTTTTTACATCTCTATGGTAGTAAAAAAAATATTACAAACTTAGCAAGTTAGTACTTGATTAAAATTTAAAAATTATTTACAACCGTATGAAATGATTTTCTTGATTTACATGTACCTCAACGATTTACAATACAAAAACAATTTATAACTATATTCTACGCAAAGTGTTTTCAAATATAAAAAGTTGTCGACCAAATGAAAAGTTTAATAAAAAAAATATAAGGTTCAAAATGTTTTTGCTTTATAGTTAAAATTGTATACAGAAAACCAATGTAAATAAAACCAAACCGCATATAATTTACTACGCATTAAAAGAAAAATAATATTGTATGTATTTATAATATTTATTTACATGATTTGTACAAGTTATATTGTTAAACTTTATTTAATGTTAAGCATTTAGCTTATCTTCAATAAACATTCAAATAAAAAAATATATGGCTATAGGCAATATATTCTTACAAATGTTTAAATATATTATACACCAAGATGATTATATTTAAATTAAATGTAGTAAGTTGTTTTATCTGTTGTCTCAGTGATTGGTGTTATTTCGGTCTTCTGTATTGTAATTCCATTGATGTTCCCCAGAGTCAGAGTAGATTTCAGTTGTGTTCGACGAATGTAGTATATGTAACTAGAAAAATCAAAATTGAATGACTATTATTTAAATTTCGAGCCTAAAATTTGGACAACGTCTTATTATTAGAACATTATTTCGTGTTTAATTTTGAATATGAACCATACAAATAACTATTTACCCAAAGCTGAACACTAGTGGAGCAGTTAGGGCAATACTAATCAAAAAAAATGCGCCTGGCATAGATTCAAACGTATGGTTGTACGTAAAATTGTAAAACGGTAAAAATCCGCTTTTCAGCAAACTTTCCATTAGTAATTTTACAGAATTCATCGCACCTGTAAAATAATATCAACATTAAATAAAACATTGCACGTACCTATCTATGAATTACGGTTCATAGAAATATTGTAAACATTAATTAAACTTTAATAAATCATTGACTATAGAACAGTATATTATATATCCTATGATAAAACGTAACAAATTATGACTTTTATTTCAACAGTTTTTATTACCTAATTCAGTAGGCCCAACACATTTTGATGCTATAGAACTTGTTAAAGATAGAGCTGCTCCTCGGAATAATTCCAGTGGTATCACTAAAATGTAATCAAAACATTTTTATTATAATTATTAATAGATGATTTATATGGAACATAAAACTTAAGTGTATCCACAAAAATTATTTATAAAGTATGATACCTATCAAGCGTTTGTAGATAAAATAAAAAAATAACCTATATTATATCGGGAACGAAAAAAAGTTTTTAATAATATTTTAAATATTTTAATTTTATAAATTATGTTTCAGTCCTATTTAATATAATGTAATATGATGTTATTTAACAAAATACGCAATATTTCATGATTAATGTTTTTGTTGAATATTATAAATATTTA